CAAACACACTGCAGCACAGTCTCTGTTTTCACCTTAAGGTTCAGTATAAAGAAGGGGAGTTTTAAATCAGCCATGGTGCAGAGCAGCGGCCAAGTTTAGGGTAAGATAGATGACAGCCTGAATGCAAGAACACATCCACATGAGTCAGGCTAGTATCTCTCACTCCTAATGGCCAGTGGTGTAATATAAAGTAAATGCAAGCACAAGCTTGCTTGCCAGTGATGCATAAACTGAATGCCAAAGTCTCATTAATTCACAGATTCGGTAATAATGGAGTAATAAAAAAACACAGCAACGCATCTCTATATTTTGTTATGTGTGTCTTTGGAAAGTTTGAGCCAAAGGCCAGAAAACTGCCGCATGGGTTTCCAATCAGCAGCTCTCTGAGCCTGCAGAGGAAAGAAGCTGGGCTGCTTTGCTCACGTAGCCTTAGCTACTATTGTTGCTCTTGACTTATCAGTAAAGGCAGTGCAGATTGTAGATGGATTAATTAAAATGTTTTTTGTCTACATTACGTAAGACATTACCCTTCAAATCCTATTGGATGTTGCAATTATAAATGGCTTCTGAATTCGGGTTCTAAAGGGACCCGATAATTACTTAAAAGAAATGTTAAAAACAATATGGCAGCTTTTTTGTCGGTAAATAAAAAGGAAATTATCTTGTTGACAGACCTCGTGGTTCAAAGTTCAAATATGTATGGACATCCTTTTTGTGTTGGTATGGACACATACGGAAAGAAAGCATAGGCAAATATTCACAATAGTACCACTTGTTCATCTAGCATTACACCACTGGTCATGGTTGGGGGAATGGCCCATGCAAAACCAAACATCCAAAGCAGACGCTGGTTATGAAGGTAAAGTCTGTGACATGGATGAATGGATGACCTCATGTTACAAAATGTTATTAGCTTTATAGTTTTAGTCCTAAGTCAACCTTAGCTGGGGAGATTTGGATGGATCAAGATGTGCCACTTTGTTTTTTATATTATCTCTTCACATTTGGGCAGCATTTGACTTTCCGTGAGACTGTGGCAAACATTTGCCGCTCAGCTGTACCTGTGTGCATTAAACCTAAAGAAAATTAGCTATACACAAACCCTTTCACACGTCCGATTCAAATAAATTCAAAGGACAACAAACTCCAATATGTTTTCAGAGATCTTTTATGCTGAAGTGCATTCACATTACTGGGCTGAATGAATTCTTGTGCGTATGGTTGTTTTTTTGAACATAAAACAGAAATTTAAACAGGCTGAAGCTCGACCTTGCGTCCGCACTGGACTCCCAATGTGAGATTCAGATAAAATTGAGCATGCAGAGTCCTGCATATAAAAAAGGAGCAGCTGTTGATCAAGCAGTACAAAGAACAGCTGTGAGACTGCAAGGGAATAGTGGAATTAAATGCAGATGTTGTAGCTAAAAATAAACCTCGGCAATAGCCCATGCTCCCTGAAGTGAAGAAAAACAACAGCAGCTTGGAAGTAATACCAAAATATCTCAAAACAAAACAAATAAAAATAAAAACTTAAACAAAAGTAATTAGAAGACTTGAAAAGGGGCTGACTCGGATGATACTAAGGTTAACTTGTAGTCTGGTAGATTTATATGTGATCCAAACCTCCCACTGCTATATGGCTGTTGCCCAGCAAGGACATGAAAAAAAACAAAAAAACAATTACAGCATACGAAAACTCCCAAAAACCAACCAAACTACCAAACAGGTTTTTTCATGTGCCATGCACTGGCAGCAGTTGCCTTTTAACAACTCCAGTAAAGAGCAGAAAAACATTAATCCAGCTGGAAAAGGCACCATGCAAAGACTGTATGGGCTGCATCCCCACCTAACTAGGCCACACATTTCAATTCAGGTCAGTCTTGGAGCCTGAACTGTGAGACCTACTAAACCTGGTAGCAGAAGGGAAGACAGATGCTGACAGAAAGAATGAAAATCAGAGAAAATGTGAAACAAAGAAAGAGGCAATAGAGGCTCAGATATCGTAATACAAACAGAGAGAGACTGCAAACAAATCAAAAAACAATGAATGGCATATAAAATGTGGCAGGATAGTAAATTATGGAGTATGGTCATTAATGATTTAGGAAAAAACTGAATCTGCAAGCTTCATTAAACTTCATTTTTTTTCATAAATAGTGACTTACTCAACTTCAAAAGCTGAAACTGTGATGAAATTTAGATTGCATGCATATAATAGTTTCTTCAACATTTGTATTTTGGATGTAAAACGTCAGTAATCTATCCTGATTAATAATAAAGCTCAACTACAGTGACTATGACCCACAGAATTTTGAATGAGTAGCTATGTGTGTGATGATAGCTCTCTAAAGAACAAACACTCACTGGCCACTTTGTTAGGTATACCTGTTCAAATGCTTGTTGGTGCAAATATCAAACAGACAAAGTTAAGACGATCTGCTAAAGTTCAACCCAAGTGTCAGAATGTTGAAGCAAAGGTGATTTAAGTGACTTTGAATGTGAGAAGGTTGTTGGTGCCAGACAGGCTGGTCAGACTGTTCCAAAAAACTGCTGATCTGCTGGGATTTTTCCCACACAACCATCTCCAGAGTTTACAGAAAACAGTTTAAAAGAGAGAAAATCCAGTGAGCGGCAGTTCTCTGGGTGAAAATGCCTTCTTGATGCCAGAGGTCAGAGGAGAATGGCTACGCTCCTTCGAGCTGATACAGTAGCAACAGTATAGCCTCTCGTTACAAGCAAGTTATTCAGAAAAACAACAGATTCCCCTACAATAGTAGAAGACTGCACTGGGTGCCAACTCCTGTCAGTTAAACAGGAGGTTGAGGTTATAATTTGCAAGGTCGTTTTTTAAAATTGGAAAAACGTTGCCTGGTCTGTGAGTTTTGATTGTGAGATTTGGATGGTAGGGTAACAATTTTGTCTGAACAACATAAAAACATGGATTCGTCCTTCCTTGTATCAAAAGCTGCTGATGGTGGGGGGGATGTATTCTGAGAAAAGCCTTTAGTACCAACTGAGAATCATTGAAACACTACAGCGTACCTGAATATTGTTGCTCACTGTGTCTATCCCTTTATGAGCACAGTGCACCCATCTTATCATGGGTGCTTCCAGCAGGATGCCAATGCCACAAAACTAAAATCATGTCTATATCTATCATGTCAATACGTACAAAATCTCTGAGGAAAGTTTCCATAACTTTGTGTGCCACAAAGAATTAAGATGCTCTTAGAGACAAAACAGGGTTCAGCTCAGCACTTTCAAAGTGAACTTAAAAAACTAGCCGATGAGTGTAGCTGTCTGCTTTGACTGGTGGGAAATGATTACAGCATTGTCCTACTACTTGATGGCTTAATTTTGTGTATTATTTTATAAAAATGTTCTGTCAGTACTTTTGAATCTATAGCAAGGCACAGATTTTAATTTGTGTTTATGACTTGTGGGCTGTTTTCGGGCACATTAGTTTAAAGATTGGGCCATTTTATAAGTGATTTCGATTTTTCGGGTGAAATCTTTTTCACAGTGTGCACTTGACAGTTAAAAGAAAATACGACTGAGGCAATCAACACTTCCTTTCATAAAGAAGAAAAGGACAGGCGAATAGTGAAAGGGAGGGTGACAATGGAAGAAAAACAGGATGAAACAAAAAAAAGAAACACAGACAGAGAGTAAGATGTCAAAGAATTTTAAACTGTTAGCTAATTCAAGTGGGGAGGCAGCCCAAGTTAAAAAGTGCACTCTACACACAACACAGCAACAGAGCAAAGGCCGACCGTGACCACCTGTGTAGACGATGTATTTGGGAATAAATGGACAAAACTCTGTTTTCTCTGGGTCTGACTGAAGTCTGTTCTCACATCATTGGACATTAAGATTGAGGAGTTGAAGTCACCTCATAAGAAGTAATGAGACTTGGAGGAGCCGGATATCCAAGGAGAAATGCAGTGAGGATGCCTCTGCATGTCATATGGACTCATTAGCTACTTTTGATCTTGTGCTGCCTGGGCTTCAACATTTTTTGAAGCGAGTGCAGTGTTTTAAAAAGGTCCTCTGTGCATAGAAATTCATTCCTCCAGGAAAAGAGGATTTAGTGGAGATGACATTATTAAAGAAAACAAAAGTGTGGCACCGACTGAGAACTAGAAACAAAGAGCGTAGGCTGGGGGTAAAATGAAAATAGATTTCAAATGACCCAGCTTGCAGTCACTTGTGTATTTCTACTGACATCAAACTTTTGGTGCACACATGCCATGTTCAGTCTTTGGTTTATCATTTAAAAACCCATTCTGGCCTACAAGGACAAAGCCTGTGCTTATTAACTATTGTAGAACAATGTTAGATTAGTTGCACTGGGCATTTTAAGGTCATCTACTATAGTAAACTTTGTGGGCAAGTTAGTTTAGTTCCTTAAATGTAAATCTCATTTTAAAAAATCCCCAACTCCCAAAAAGTAGCTCTTCAAAATACACCATTAGATCAAGTCTTTGTGTGATATTATATATAATGCCTGGATTATAAACCTTACAGTTACAGTACTGTGCAAACGTTTAGCACCAGGTTCACTTTTTCTTTAAAATTTCCCCCCAAAATGAAAAATGTGTGATTTACTGAAACATATGCAAATATTTTCACAATAGAAAATAACACATTTCCACTGGGAATGAAATTTAGAGTTTGTGCTCATTTCAAACACTCTGTATAGGCCACACCACTACGTGTCCCTCGGCTTATAATAGAGTCTTTGCTTTACGCATCAATGGGGTTTGCATCGTGCATTTCCTTTTGGTTACCAGATATGAAAACAGTAAAAACAATACACCTCTGCCATGCGACAGACAGAGATAGATTATTCATGACCGACCCTGCAGCCAGCAAGCTTTGAATAAGCACCTAGCAAAAGTCAAAGATCCAAATAATAGATTTTCTGGTCACGGTAGAAGCCTATGTGCACTGTGGCTGGTGTGTGTGGATGCTCGGGGTAGGTATGATGGGAACAGTACCTGGGACAGTTGTGGGCTCTGTATCTGTCTTGAAGGTGAGGATGCCAGGCTTAGATTTGCCCTGCTCATTCTCTGCCACCACATGAACCTCATACTCCGTGTTCCATTCCAGGCTGTTCAGGACGATATAGGTACTGTCACTGGGAAGGCGGAGCTCTGGTTTCCAGTCAGATACACGCTTCTGAGAAATGGATTTAGAAAGGAACAATTCAACACTCTCAAAGGAAAAGCTCATTTTAGATCATCTACAAATGTCTCGATTTCTCAAACTGTTCTTGAGCTGACATAAAAGCAGTACATGTTCTTTCTCAACATGTTTTTCAGTTCCAAAGAGATTAACCTGGTCCGAAACAGTTAATCATGAGGGAAAAACAAGAAAATAATGAAATGTATAAAGTACTCACCAATTATTATGCACAAATTGTACACAAGTAGATCTTATAAGAATAAATGAAAGTGGTGTTTAAGCATTTATCTTTTCCATCAGGTTAGTAATGAATCTTTTTGAATACATAGTTATAATTCAGTGGACAAGTGCTGCATGAGAACATAACTTTATATTACCGCCACTGCAGGAAAACTAGTCTGCTGTAAGGATTGGTTGGTCTAATTACAGTCACCCTTTCTTCCTAGTGACAACTGTTAATTCCAAAGAGGTAGAAGATACAAATTGAAAGGGGGAAATGACTTGGATGATGAGGTGGCTTAAAATGGTTTGGAGTCATTAGCAGGCACATATTTTGACAGATTCCAGTAGATTTACCCCTGCTCAAAGCCGTAGCCAGATTTGACTACTTTGTTGTAACTGTTACTATTTTTTTATGTTGTTTTTGTTTTTATATCAAATGCTTGAAGCATACAAAAAGTTACCCCCATTGCCAGAAATACTCACAGCCTTGTATCTGATCAGGTAATGTTTAATCTTGGAACCACCGTTATCTTGCGTGATCCAGTTGATCTTAAGAGAATTGCCCGGGCTGTGCACCTTGGCCTGCAGTTTGGGAGCACTGGGTTCCCCTAAACAGGAAACCAAGGAATGATGATTAGATGACAAACGGTGGTTACTGCATCAACACATGTTTACCTTTAAACACCAACTACATGTCTGAAATCTTTTATCTTAAAAGAAAAGAAAACTGCGCTGCAATAGACACATTTTTTTCACCAGTGTCTACCACGAGCAGATCAATAACATTAATAATTTTCAAGCCTTCACCTCAAATAATATCTTAGTTTTAAAATAATGCAATCAATGTTAAACTTGGTTAGTAAGTTTTAGTTAATGTTAATTTCTCAACAACCAAAATCGTTCATTACCCTTGAACTATTTGTTTAACCCAAGCCATTAGTTTTTGTGCCTAAACTTAAACTTTAACCACAGCAGTGCCAGATCAGGGGGCACACAATGAAGGTGTATGTGATGGTGTGTTGTAACAATTTTGGAACACCCATCAAAAGATTTCCAAAATAGTACATCTATGTGTTAAGTTTGGAGGACCCACTGAAAGAAATATAACCTCCATGAGAAGAGTATCTGATAATTAAAGACAGACTTTAGGTGGAATATTACTTCCAGGACGACTAGAAGCAACAGAGGTCAACGTGGCTGCCTCAGAACCACAGGCGGAGGTGTTGTTCTCCTTGAGGCCCTCATTATCTGCTCTGTCCTCCTGAGTAATGACTGCTGGGTCGCTGGATAATGAGCCTGTAGGCCTTGATTGGACATGTTCCTCTATTACTTTTAATAACATTTACATAGTCTTGTGGGAAAGGAGGTCAATGTGTTTTTTGCGTGTGTGTGTGTGTGTGCTGTAGCTCTTCGTGGCACTGTTAAGGCAATAAGGGTGGAGACTAACAACCCAAACTCATCAATTATGTGCATATTGGTTACACACAGTTAGCCTTGTTAATATGTTATTAAATCCCCTACCTTGTGATGCTATAATCTTTGCCCTGTGCTAACAATCTTAAAAGTAACAGCCACACCAGCAGGTAACAGAAAGGCTCAGTGGTGCTGCAATTTCTACATGCATGCTACTGATAGAAATTCAATAAGGAGTTAAACCAAAAAATCTCTCTCTCTCTCTCTCTCTCTCTCTCTCTCT